TCTCTCTAATGGTTTGGTAATTAAGAGAGTAATCTTCAAAGATCTTCAAAGAATATCTTCTTTGTTTCTTACAATTTGTTCATAAACTCAAGAAAGTCATAAATACTTTAACCCTTCTGAATTAGCTAGTTAACAAGACTATTAAATGAAATTTGGCCTTCTCTTTCTAAAAGACTGAAGCAGAACAATAAAAAATCATCAAATAAATGATACCGAGGTTGTAAAGGAATAAAGATATTAGATAAAATAAAGTTAACATCAAATTCAATGCTCAATGTATATAAACATATAACTTGTGGTAGTTTAAAATTAATTTCCTGAATTGCAAGAGATCATTTGCCTACCATTATACTCACTTTAAACACATGGTTAAGGCCTTTAAATTACTAGGTCACCAGAAGGCTTAATTTCTGGTCTTTCTTTGTCATATACTCCCTATAATTTATTTCTATCTCTCTAGTTCCCATCTCCTTTCCTTCAATCCCTTTTTAATGCAATCTACTTCAGAACCTCTTGAGAATGATTATCATTCAGTATAATTACACATGCATTACCAAGTAGGACAGGCAGAGCAGTTAAACCAACTGGGATCTCATGATGCCAGTTAAGTTTTAGTCTCATGCCACTGCAGACTCCCAGAACGTGTCAGCATTACTTCAGTAAAGTAGGTTACAGGTAGAGTCAGTGCAACCTTCTATGGAATTCACCAGATAAAAACAAAGATATATGCACATACAGCAAGCAGGTTATTTTGAGATGTAAAAAGGCATAAAAGCAGTAGCACAAGAAAGGAGAGGAGTACAGCTTCAAGTGACCAACTTCTATAAAACCCAAGGTAAATACACAGTCTCCCTGCTCAGGGCTTAGCTTTTAAAGCCCTCTTAATTTTTACTAAGCTTCTGTGCTATATACAACTGAAAAGGAATTTGTTCCACTCTCATCAATGGTTTATAAACAGCTCACAATGTCACCTGCAGATCTAGAATGGGAAAACTCTGACCTGAAGCTCTTCTGGCCTCAGGAGTAGCCTCCTCATTGCCAGGTGAAACATGTAAGGCCCTCAATCTGTCAAGTGCAGTCCTCCATATATGAAGAGCACTTCTGACTGGCCTGCCAGCGATGGGGATGCGCCCATGAAATTGCACTTCTTCATTCAATCTCAGTCTTCACTCAGTCTCTACGCTGATGATTTTTCAGATCTTTTTATTCATCCCTAGCCCCCCAACCTGTCTTGTAACTCCAACTGCCTCTTGGGTATCTTAAGCTGGTGACATTTTCAACTCAATGTATCTAAAACTGGATTCATTACATACACCCCCACCCTCACCCCCATCCTAACTTCCTCATTACTCTCAGGGGCACCACCATCCTCCCAGTCACCCAGGCTGGCAGCCTCACAGTCACCCCCAACTCCTCACTTTTTCACTCCCCCATTCCCCCATAGCCAACCTGTTGCCAAAGCCCGTCAATTTTACCTCCTTAACATCTCTCGCCAATTTCTCTCCTCTAACACTGCCACACCCTGGTACAGGCCCTTATCCTCCTGTGCATAGTTTATTCCAAGTTCTTGAAAAAAGAACTGCCAGAGTCAGGATGCAAATAGCGTATGAGGACTGTGATTTCATTGGCATAGCAAACTCTTGGGTGAGGTGCTTCTACCCATTCAGGTCATCATCTCTGTAAATTTTAGTCTCAGTTGCCTAGGGCACTAAGAGGTTAGGTGACCTGCCCAGGGTCATATAGCAGGTAAATGTGAGAGGTGAGACTTTAACTCAGGTCTCCTTGGCTCCAAGGCCCACTCTCTATCCACCAGGACACAATGACTCTCAGGATTCAAATATGGATCTACGTTCAACCTTGATGGGATTCATTCCTTTGGCTCCTCAAAAAGGATGGTGCTAAGATGTGAAGAGATTAGTGGCATAGTGGAAAGTGCAAATGATCTGGGTACAAGTTTTGGCTTTGTGACTTAGCATGCAGCACAGTCTAGTGGAAACCTGATTATGACCTGAGAGGCCCTGGACTGGAATCCTGGCTCTCTTACTCACCCCCTATGAAGCATCAGGCAGGCTGCTTAGCCATCCTAGAACTTGGTTTCTTGGTCTGCAAAGCAAGAGCGGGATGATCTCTATGGCCCTTTCTTGCCCTTTTCCTGGGTCTGCACTGTGAATCTATAATGCTCCAAACAAACAGCTTCCACTCTCAGAACATGTCGTGCATAGCTAACTAAATAAATCTCAATCTTCCAGAGAGAAATGTATTTGGGTCAATGCCAGAAAAAGCCAAACTCTTGAACCCTTTTAAAATAGGGAAAAGGATAATATAAATATAAATATAAATATAACAAATGAATATGTGTCACCAGTCATGGTGCTACTAGATGCAACTACTACCCAGCCTAAAGAGGACACACAATTAGCACAGGCTGACAGCAGCAGGATGAAGCTGACCCCAGTCCTTTTTTTGGGTACACTACAAGAACCTACAACATCCTCAGTATCATGGAGCGGTGCAGAGAGATTTTAATTAAACTCTAGGGAGAAGAAAACCTCCAATCAGAATCCTGCAAGTAGTTTGTTTTGCTAGGAAATAAGTGGCTAGCAGCTGACATGTCTTTTTGGCACAATAAAGCTGCTTATGCCCCCTTTCAGAAATCAAGATAAAAACCACTCCACACCATTTACATAATATGGTCCTTAAATGAGCAATTAGCCTGAAAAGGCTGTTCTCACATATGGTATGGTCTCACAGCACTACAATCCTGACTTAGGACCTTATTATAGTCATACCCCAATTTTACCTATATTCTTCCATGAGCTATGGGGGTCAATGAGTTACACTTTAGAAAACCAAAGAGCGAGCCTGCAGTGGCAACTACAGATTTATGAGATTTATAAACATATTTAGTAATATCCAGAGGCAAACACTGATAAATTCTCATCAGCTCCCAAATTCACTGGCTCAAGAATTTCTGTCTAGTAAATCTGTACTATATCAATAAATAGATGAAGCTTTAAAAAATCATTTCACTCAGACACTGAATAATAAACAATTTTGCAAAGATGAAAAACAAATAATGTTTCCTAATTGGAAATTTGACATTTTCTAAGCATTCAATACTCTTATTCTTTTAACTCTATTATGAACTTTTAACCCCTACCCCACACCCCTTCACAGATTTGCATGGAAATACTTAGAATATGGTTTCTACTTAAAGCTACTTATAGGACTACTGGTATCTGGGCTCTAGAAATAAACTAAAAGGATCCATTTGATCTATGCTAAAGAATCAGGTAAAAGAAACCTGAAACACTTCCCCCTTGAAATTTATCTTGTTCTAAATTGTAAATACTACTTTGTGTGTTAGGGACTGATTGCTGCTAACAACTTGGTTCAAGCTCTTGTATATCTCAATTTTTTTTCCTCAAAATATGAAATTAGGAGATTTGTTTTTTCTTTCATCTGATTTTTATAAATCATGTAATAAAAGTTGAGTAGAATGAATACCATTATCTCTAAGATTTTGCAATACTGGACATTAGTCATTTAATAATGGAAAGAAAAATGGATTGGTCTAGAAGCCATTCTTCGGCTCACTGGCCATGTGCTGCAGGGCAAGTCATTTCATCTCCCTGAGCCTCAGTTTCCCCTTCTGTAAAATGAGGGAGTTAGATTAGATGACCTTCAAAGCCTTTTCAGCTCTCTATGATCCTAAACAGGAACATTTTAGAAGAGAAAGGCACCAACAACGTGGAGTAGTCGTCATTCTCTGCCAAGTGTCTATGTCCAGACTTGCCACTTCCTTTGTGCTACCTGGCCATGACACATAGCCATGATGGGCACAATGCTAACAATATGTAGCACACTGTGCTTCCCCTAACCCAGAGGCAGGAAAATGCTTGAGTAATTAGGCCACCTCACCACCATGCCCCGATGCTCCAAAAATTCTGGTTCTGGCAAAGGAAGCAAGTGGCCCAGCCAAGATGCCACCATTGAGAGCTCTGCCTCTAGTCTCAAATTTAGGAAATGTCAGCAGGTGCAGCTGAGATGTGGAGGTTGGGTAAAACGTGGCCACAAGTGCCAACTCCACTGAGCAGAAGAGATGTTCATCATTAACCGAGATCCCTGAAGAATTCTCACAAAGATCAGCACAGGACAATGGCCACTGTAATGCCATATCAGATGACAATTTTGAATGAACACAGAATTAGTCCTGGTTGCAGTTACCAAGCATCAACAATATGCTAGCCCTGGTACATACACGGTCCCTGCCACAGGAACTTACTACTTCAGGTAAAATGGGATATAACATAGACGGTATCTGTGTAATAGAAACATCAAAGACATAAAAACTGAACACAACTTTCAGCTTTCTACTGTTTTAAGCTAGCGTCATTGCTTTTTCCTTTTTTTAAATCATTATTAAATTTTATTTTAAATTTATAGAATAAAACTAGCATTTCCATAACATAGCACAACAAAAAAAATGACTGCACATGAAACTGCACAAACTGCTCTTCCTTTCAAATATACCACAAAATTATCAGGTAAATTCCTTTTTTTCCCCCTCCTCCACAGCCCACCCCCACCCTAGAGCTGGCTACCTTCGGGTACATATACATAAAATTATTCTGTACCTCCTGTTTATCGTCTACTGTCTGGTAGTTAGGATAAAATACAAACTCCATAGCCTGACATTCAAGGCCCTCCATGACCTCAGTCCAGCTTACCTTTCTAGTCTTATTGCCTTTAAGTTCCCTTCGCACACTCTGTGTGGTGGCCAGACTGGACTATGAGCCATTCCCTGGTCACGTCCTTGCGCATTTTCTTGCTCCTGTGCACTGACACAGCCTGTACCCTAAGACGTGGACCCACTTCTGCCTATTGCAATCCTTCTTTCCCTTAAGGCCTGCCTCAGGCACTATTCTTCCCCGAAACTTCCTGGGATCCCCCCTGGCTAAAGTGCCCCTCACCTCCCCGAGCTTTCTTAGAGCACTCACCTGAAGCGTACTCCCAATCACGTCCTTAGTGGGCTACGCCCACTCTGTAAGAGGGCCACGTGAGCAGCACAAGGCCTGCCACATAACACGTGTTGATAAAGGCAAGTCCGTGTCGGAGAAGCAGCTTCGGGTGGGGATGGCGTGGAGGTGCGAGCACGACGCCGAGCCTGGAATCAGGAAGACCTGAGGTCAAATGTGGCCTCAGACACTTCCTAGCTGGGTCACCCTGGGCAAGTCACATCACCCTGTTTGCTTAGTTTCCTCATCTGTAAAAGGAGCTGGAGAAGGAAATGGCAAACCCCTCCAGTATCTCTGCCAAGAAAACCCCAAGCGGGGTCATAAAGAGTCAGATATGACTGAACAACAACTATTATAGAAGCTCCAGGTGCTTCTGGAGAAACTTGGCATCGTACACAGTAGGAAAGGGAAAAAAAAAAGAGGAACAATTTGCCCATATTCAAAAGAGGCAAAGCTCCTAGATTCCTAGTGGCCTTCAGAGAAAGTGACAGGTGGTAGGGATTCCACAAATGTGTGCTGAGCTGAATTGGGTGTCATCTTCCAGATCAATAACTGTTAAGAAGGTCTAAGGGAGAGTCATAATCCTCATCTCAGCCACCTCACCTTGCAGTTAAATTTTCCTAAAGGACACAAGTTATAAGGATGATTAAAAAAAAAGTTTAGTTCAGAAGAACTTCTCTGTCTACAACCAGAAACTCTCTACATTGAAATGATATGACTATTCATATCCAAACAGCATCTGCAGATTAATAATACTTACTGATGCCAATGGACAATCATGAATTGAATGAATATATATAGTATTGTGGAGAAAACAAGTAGGAATAAACCCAGTCCCTACCTTCAAGGACCTTCTTACCACTTAATACATAAATACATTAAAGTAGATGGTAAAAGTGCAATAAGAGAGGTAAGGAGAGTTGAGGGTTGAGATGAGGTAGAAGTAAGTACATCCATCTGGATTTAAGAAAGTCAAATACTAGCATCACCTCTGCAGAATTAAGCAGGAACATTACAGAGAAATACACTTTTGGGGGGGCTATTAAACTGAGGTTACGTTACATGGTAGCAGAGAGGCAATTTTGTGGGGCTCAGCCTTTATTTTTGTAGCTTCTCTTTTTCTCTAAGAAGGCTGGGAACTTAGCCAATCATCTAGATGTCAAAGAAGTAAAACAAAACTGCTTTTGGGTCCAAGAAGTAGATCACATAATTAAAAGCAGAGATCCACTGATTGTTGTGGGAGGCAGAGAAGTTTCCCAATAATCTGTAAATTATCAACTTCAAGGCAGATGCAGGAAAAGTTATCCAAATTCCTTAGGTATCCACAGACACTGCTTCAGTATATATGCCTTTGTTTCCTCACATATAGACTCACAGATCTGAGGCCTAGAGAGATCACCTGGTCCAAACTCTGCATTTGGAAGGTATCGCCCTCCCAAATCAACAGATGAGGAAACTGCAACCAAGAGATGCAGATTTGCCCAAGACCACAACGCTAACAGGTGGTGGTGACCAGCGCTCTCTCTACTACATTATCCTGCTGTTCAATTTCTCTTCCAAATATATCTAATAGAAATGCCTACGTAGATGTAGTAATACACTAACAGCCAGCATTTATGTAGTGCTTTAAAGCTTGCAAAGTGCTTTGTATTTAACACATAAGCTGTGGGAAGAAAAGAATAGTGCCTCAATTCATTCTTGGCCAAGGTGGATATTATCATACATACACACATTATCTCTTGATAGGGAAGAGCAGGCAGAATGTGAGAACAGAGGTCAAGTTAATCAAGACACACCAGACAGATCTGCAATCTGCAATCCCATAGCAAGCATCAAATGCTATCCAGCCAGCCCACATCGGCTTCCCAGCTATGTCTTAGCTCAATAACGCTGTAGGGAAAGGGCTGTTGTAAACCTTAGGGTACTGCATGAATGCCAACCATTATGATTCCTCCACTAACAGTTCATCATAGAATGAAGAGGCCTAGGTTTTTCAAAGGTATGGCAGCTGACTTTAAATCCCACAGGAGAGGCCGTGTGGCACAGTGGAGGAGTACTGGTTTTAGAATCAGAGGACCTAGGTTCAAATCTAGCCTCATTCACTTATTGTGTAATTCTGGGCATGCACTTAATCCCTCTACAAATGCAGATTCCCTTCCCCTCTCTGATCCCAGTTTCCTCATTTGCAAAATGAAGGTGTTGGAAGAGATGGCATCTAAAATTCCTTCTTGCTCTAATCTACTACTTTATGTTCTATCATATTGAAAGGCACTGAATATGGGGCCAGTGAAACCAAGTCTGTGATATGAGAACTTTCAGCCTAGCTAAGTTCATAGAGGATCATGGGGTTGATTTCAGGGTGACAAATTTTCATCCTCAGAAACTCATGAAAGACTAGATCATCGAAAGACTGAAAATCTGGGGAAATCTGGGGTTTCCAAACACGGGCAAAATCATAATAAATATTTGTTGCTGAATAGATCCTTGAAATGATACTATGATAGACACTGCTGTTTTATGATTTATTCTACACCTCCAGAGACTTCAGAGCAGAGATTATAGTACATAACTCAGTAT